GTATAGTGTTCTTTTCAGTTCTCTCAGTAATCTCCAAGTAGGCCATCTGGCCACAGCATTATTATTATTTTTTTAGACCCTATTTTGGACATGGAAATAAGACTCATGAGCACCATTACATTTGTACATGTTTTGAAAGCACATACCTGAGAGGTGGAGAGTTGCTTCTGTGGTTTGCTTAATACAGGTCAGACTTTCGTCTTATTATGTGCTGCAGCATGTCTATAAAGAGAGGTCTGCAGCCAAGCCTGACTCCATGACTACACACTACAACGGGGTATCCAGAGGGGGAAGCTTCCTCAGAAACAAATTGCATAGTGCTTGCATTGCACCCTTTCTAGACAATGCAGCCCACAGGCTCACAGCTTGGAGGCTGAGAATGATGCTTGAGAGGCCTTGTGCATGACTAGAAGGATGTGAGGAGTGCTGGTATGCTGTTCAGGACCTTAAAGGGGTCACCTGCCACTTACTTCAAGGGCTAGTTTCTGCACAGTGCTACCATTCCAGCAAAGAGACCAGCAGAGGGTAGGTCTCCTTCAGCACAAGAATGCTTCCTTCTGTGTTTCCCCCTTCTCCACACTCATAAGCCAACTTATTATTACAGTAATCTTCATGGAGTCATCCTATTTCTCCTCTCTGCTTGTGTATCAGCTCTAGGGCGTCAGTGATGAGGAAGAAGGATTAGTATCTACAGAGTCCCTGCTGGAGAGGGTGGCAAGGAAATAATTTGCACAAGTTCTTGACCTTCTTGTAAGCTTCTGCAAGTCTAAACTGCTAAGCAGATGAAGAATCTTTTGTCCTCAAGAGCTGACATAACTGTCTGCAGGATTGGTCAGGCCAGGGTGGAAATCTGCATTAATTGGGAGTAATGGAATTAATATATCTCTTCCCACTGCATAAATGAGATTCAGAATTTACATCGTTCTTTCCATCAGAGAAAATCTACCAACTGCGCTACAGAACACCTTTTTGATCTCTCCTCCAAATGAGATTTTATTTAATAATAATGACTATATGTTTAACGTTAGATTACTGGCATTTTTCTTATTATATCTTCCATGGTACATAGGCAGGATTTTAAAGAAAATAATAATGCCCTTCGCAAAATCCTAATGGCCTATGTTAATTAACTTTAGATACCTGATTTGTACACGTTAGGAGCTGAACATAGCAAACCTGCGTTCCCCCGCCTGCCCCCCCTCAATCCCCCCCCCAGAAACAAACAAACCAAATTTCATGAAAATCACTGAACTCACTAATTTGAACCTATGAGGAATATGCATTAGCTATTTACATAAATGACAGCAAATGCCCTGATTACCAGAGCTTAAACCTGACAAGGCTGCAGCCTAGCACTAGCTTTTGAAACACAGACATCCTCATGCTACTGGCATCTCCCTGGGCTGCTGTCCAGGTAACTGGCAACTCCTTGAAAGTCTGCCTCTGGCTGAGATTTATCCTGGACTGAGTCTGGTTGCTTCCTGACACCTGGTTAGGAGATGATTCAACTGGATTGCCAGCCTCTAGCTGGATGCTGAGCTCTGACCCTTTTGGTCCTTGGCTCTGGGAAGGTGGAGAGACGCTCCCTGATGCTCTCTAGTCAAGCCCTGCAGGACAATGTGGCATATCTTACCTTTGAGTGAGATACAAAGCCACGGGTAGGATTGGAAGACTATTAGAGGGTTCTGGAGGAGTACTGTCAGAGCTACTTAACAATACCAGAACAGCATAAAGCATTTCCTCAGTTCTCTAAGTCACAACAGCAATGCTCCTAGACTGGAGCCATTCAGGAAAAGGGTGTTGATCAGAGCAGGTCTGTTGGCTGACTGAGCCAAGGAACAGGTTGGGGGCCACTGTGTGCAGGCTTACCTGAGACGTGCACACACGCACGCACACACACACTTCACTACATGGGCTAATAACGTAGGAGCCCTTACCTGGAGAGGTGATGGAGGTGTCAGAGATATACAGCATGCTTACATTGTGTTCCTGGGGAACTCTTGGGTAAGCCCCACTCCTATGACATTCAGTGGAAATATTTTTATTGCCTTCAGTGGCAATTGGATCAGGCCCAAATACATGTCCTACAATACACTTTCTTTCCAAGACACAGTAGCCTGGGTTAGGCTTTTTTTAAACAAAGACTATTTTGACAGGGCCATTGTCAGCAATTCCTTTGCCGACCAGATACTGTGTAAATAAAAGGATTTCAGGCAGCCATAAAAGCAACCGCATACTTTGTCAAATCATTTGACTTCATATAGCATTTGCATGCCAAAGGCCTTCTAAGAACATCATACACACATGGAAAAATACATGCATTCTTTCCATTTTACCTTTTGGAACCTGCAGTACTTGAACAAGTTATAGCTCTGAATTGTGAATTACTTAACTCTAAATAACCATTACTTTTTATGTGATTTTGTAAGGCAGCATGTAATTCTTTATTTCTTGGTTGACCAGTCAGGTACCCTTAAAATATTTACAACTTATTATTCAATGTAAACAATTAATTGACCTAATTTTATCTTTTTGTATTGTCATTTTGCTGGATCTTATTTAAAAACCCTAGGGAATTGAAAAAAGACACCATTGCTGAAATTACACTATGGTGCATTTTCAAGTCAAATTGAACAAGAATTCTCAATTTAGATAGCTTTTAAATATTTTACTTTCTTATTATACATTAATAGCAAATGGCATACACTGTTTTTAATATACTAATGGGTCACACGTATTAGTCATTTGTGAATTGGAAAATTAATCTACACAACAAAGTGTCAGTTAGTTACATTAGAAGGGGGGGGTGTTAGTACAGCCGACTTGTAGCTTTTCCCATTACCTCTATCCTACACGTTTGAAGTATAAATTACTCATATTGTATACTTCGCCAGCCAGTTTTTGCCGTTAATTAATCTGGATTTGTAACACTGAATCTCCGTTTAGTGCATAGTTAAACTTTTCATTGAAATCAGTGAAAGAGAGCAGAATTTGGCTCACTGAATGACACAAGTATAGATTTTGAAATATAAAATTCCTGGTGTGTTTCCTCAGCAACATATATTAAGTATCTTAAATTATATATAATTTTTGGCTGGATTTGATCTTTTCTTATATATTTCTAAATAATCTGGACTACCCAAATCTCTTAAATTCTCTCAGGACACTATAGAAGTGTCTAAAATTCCCTGGTGCCCACCTATAATTCCTACCTCAGTTGTCTCATGCAGGGACTATTATGTCAAAGCATTTCAAGCTCCAAAATATAATAGCCAGGGTTCAGACTTTCCTTGAATGAAGATTACTGTGACTCCTATATCTATCAAATTGTGATAAATTCTGAGAGCTGATCCTACTTTAATGCAAACTATTGGTGACTAAAGCCATCAGGCTTTGAAAGTAATTAATAACAAACTGTGATCCCAGAGGCTGAAGACAAATATTTTATCTGTAAAAAAACTTGCCACGTAAATCTCTTCCATTTATTTTTTCTAGGCTCTCAATCTTGATTAATAACAAAACAAAACACAAAGAAGACCCAACAATACAAATGAGAGCTAAGTATTTGCTCCTAGTGACATGAAAAGTTTTAATTTAATAAAAGAAATAGAAAAGCAGGGAGCTTACTTCATTTTTTGGCATTTTCTAAAAGCAATATATACAATGCTTCTTAGAAGGTGCAGTGGGAAGAATTATTATTGAAATTTTAACATCTGTCTGAAACAGACAACATGAGACTATTCCTGAGAGACACCTTAGCTTTGGAAAAATTAAGCAATCAGACTGTCCTGGATTTTCTCATTGACATATTTATAATACTGTAAAGCCAACTCAGCTAAGGAGTTTACAGAAAACATTGCTCTACAGGCAGAAACCTATTACTAATTTTTTTCTTACAAAAGTCAAACAGAATTTTAATGCTAAGAAATACAGCAGATCAAAAATTAATATGCTTACCTATTTTTTGATAGAACTTTATAGACAAAATATAACATGAAAACTGGCTAGGAAAAAAAAGCAGATCTATATAAATCCATGTCTACTAAATTTATTTCAAATACAGTTATGCTTACCATCTAATTAGAAAATATTTAATATAGTAACTTTATAATAAAGTGTGGATACAACTATTTGATTGCAATTCACCATTTGAAAAACTCTTTTAGAGAAGTAATGCTTGAATGCTGACCTCTTAAATGGAAAATCTTATGTGACATTTCATATTTTATGCTACTAGTTTTGTAATTAAAGTTTATTCCTCCTTTCTCACCTGTTCATATTACAGGTGTACTCCTTGGAAAGGACATTAAGTTCATATAGATTTGCCATACAAGTCATAAACTTAAACAGCATTCTGCCACGTCTATCATTTTAATGTTTTGATCCTGCATCTGCTTTTTATTTTCCTTGGAAAATATTTGCCACCTTGTATATTTCTATTGGTACTGAAAACACACAGATGAATATAGGAATGCATTTTATAAGAGATCCAGGTTGTGGGAATCAGAACAAAATGAGCAAATATGCCTGCATTTTCTCTCTCTGCATTATTTACATCATTAAATATCTACAGTACACATAAAGGGGACAAAACAAAGACATGCAGAAAAATAATGTAATGATAGTGACCTTGAAACAAACGTTCAGGCTAGCACCCAGGTATCATAGTGATGGACATGTTAGAAACATCTAGGTACTATAGAGAGGCTATAGTAACCTTGCTTAGTGAAGGGCAAACTAATAACTGATACCTTGTAATAGCCATACTCTAAGGTGAATGTGCAAATGAACTGTAATTCTGCAATGTATTGTTTAGTGTTTCTTGTATGCAGCCTTTATAGGTTTAGAAACATTTGTAAACTGGGAAGTTATAATTTCCATTGTATTTCTATACATCAGAAAGCAAAGAAATTCATTGTGAATATTTATATTCTACTAATGAAAAGTGCAAACCTACACAAAATCTTGTCTGTTTAGATTCATTAATTTTTTTCACTTACGTTTAGTATAAGTGCACTTAAACACTTCCATTTGTATGCACCTAACTGTTCTGGACAGTAAAACTTCTTTGGCTTTTCAGCAATATTGAGCTTGGCTGTAACTAACAGAAACATATTTAGTTGTAACTTTTTTCTTTCAAAAAGAGGCAAACTGGATTATAGCAAATAACCTTTAAGATAATTAACTGACAATGCTGCAACTAGCATAAAATCTTCCTTCAGGCGACCCCTAATTTAAGTATTACTGGCACAAAGTGGAGACAGATTGTGCATCACCACCGCAATATTTACATAGCAGAAACCCACAGAGCAGAAAACGTGAGACTCAATGATGCACTAAATTAGGAACAATCATATTCTAGTGTTAATTTGCTTTCTGCTCCATCCAAATTTCAGGTCCAGAAATTGGTACAAATACATATAAAACATTCCCACTTTTTAACGATTAAGAACTAGGATATTCAAATGGTTATATACATCAGCAAATTTGCTCATATCTCAATGTTTGCAGGATCAGACCTGAAAACTAAAGATATTATGGCTATTCTTTTAAAAATTAAGACTCTCTAAACTATTTCTTTCTTTCCATACATAATACTATCATAAACAGGGTGTTTTTTTTCCTTCTGTTTTGCCTGCCCTTTGATTGCAAATATTTTCATACGACAATATCATTGCCTAGGAAATTACTAGGAAATAATTTAAAGATCATTTACATTTCTTAATCCTGAATATCTATTTATTCAAAGGAGTACAGTTAAGAGAGAACGGAGAAAAAAGAAAGTCATGGAATTTGTAAATGGATTTGCGAAGTGTCATGCTTATAGGAAATATACTGGCAGTATTTTAGCTTGAAATATATTTTAGTAATATAATCAATTACTCTGTACTTTTAATTATAAAAGGCAGACACTCCCTGTCCTCCCGAATTAAAAAAAAATCATTCTAGTTTGCCTTCTATATACAATATTAACAAAATATTTACCTTTCCTAAACGCTGATGCTCTTCAAAAGCAGTAATCAATTCTTGTGCCCAGTTTATTTTTTCAGGGCTGGGAGAGAACTGCTCCTGAACAACAGCAATTTGGTTAGGGTGAATCACCTGCTTACCTACAAGGAAGATTAATAACACCAGAATCACGCATTGACAAACAGATGTTCAAACAAAATGTTCCAACCACTTGAGGCTCTCAAATGCCTTACAGATTATATTATTTAACTACTTATTTTGCTAGAATTTTTTTACATTTTTAAACTGAACACCATGCAGAAAACCTGATGGATTTTATATGAACAAATATAACCAAGCAATAGTTGTATTTAATATCATTTGGAAAATAAAAAAAAAGGAACATAAGTCTTCCCACCCATTTCAATCCATTCATTTTTCTTTTGTCATTTCAGGTGTGTTTCTTAGACAAATCCAGTCAATAACAATTAAAGTACAATATATATATATATATATATATATATATATATATAGAGAGATAGATATATAGAGAGATATACATATAT